ACCTCTACATACGGTGGCATTAAAGCCGCAAAACAGGATGAGACCTCACCGGCTCTTTCACAGAGAGAGGAGGCCCAGAGACCAAGTGCTGGGGGCCGCCAGGCCTGTGCAGTTGCTGTGGTGGCACCGGTGAGGGTCTGGTAGGTGTGGAGAGCCCGTTGGTATGCTGTTGGACACGGGGGAAAATGCAGAAGAGGAGCATCAGACAGTGAGCCAGTCGCTCAGGACAAATTTCACCAGGTTGTCTGACTTTGTCCCTTGAAAGCTTTACCCTTCCTTGTCTATGGACTCCATTTATGTTTCTAGCATTACTGGCCCAGAGCCAAAATGTAAATGGCCAACATGTAGCCCGTTAGCCACATGTTAACTTCTGATTCTTTTCTTAGTGAGGTGGTTTCGTTTTATGCTGGATAGTGTATTATTTTCATAAATGCTCATTTAAGAGTTGTAATAGTTTCACTTTAGAGGGCAGGCAAATTATGTGATCTACAGCCTCATGTAGGATAGCTTTGAACAATGAGCAAATGCCAGTTTGCTTTCAGATTTAAAATTCTCGTCATAGAATGTAGTTTATATTGACAACAGGATAGATTTTATTAAATTTTATTTTGAGTGACGTGTAGCCTGTATTACTTGTTTTCCCTTATTTAGGTTTTGGTACTATTAAATTTGCCAAAGGCCAGGACATGAATTTCTTGTGTGTATTTAATTATATCTGGGAGAAAGTGGGGCTCAGGAGTAAAGAATCCACCTGCCAATGCTGGAGACACAGGTTCAATCCCTGGGTCAGGAAGATACCCCGGAGAAGGAAATGGCAACCCACTCCAGTATTCTTGCCTGGGAAATCCCATGAGCAGAGGAGCGTGGCGGGCTGCAGCCCATGGGGTCGTGAAGCGTCGGACAGAACTGAGTGATTAAACAACGACCGGGAGGAAGTGATTGGCGCAGCTCCCGCCAGTTGCTGAATCAGAGAGGGGAGGCGTGTGTGTCTGTCGTGCGAGTTGGTGGGCTCAGAACTCAGCCACTTGCCCCTCCAAATCGGGAACTCCGTCTGTAGGACAGTAAAAGGGTCCGTGGACACACACAGAGTGGGACAGATCAGAAGAGTGGCCTTGATGCTTACACACAACCTGTGTAAAATAGCCAGTGGGAAGCCGCTGTCTAGCGCAGGGAGCTCAGCCTGGCGCTCTGTGATGACCTGGGGGATGGGATGAGGGGGTGGGGGGGTCTCGATGTGATGACCTGGGGGATGGGATGAGGGGGTGGGGGGGTCTCGATGTGATGACCTGGGGGATGGGATGGAGGGGGTGGGGGGTCTCGAGAGGGAAGGGACATACACATGCTTACAGCTGATTCGTGGCATTGTACGGCAGAAGCATAACATTGTAAAGTCCATTATACTCCAATTAAATAAATAAAGTGAAATTTGCTCAGTCGTGTTTGACACTTTGTGTCTCCAGGCCAGAATACTGGAGTGGGTAGCCTTCCCTTCTCCCGGGGAGCTTCCTGACCCAGGGATCGAACCAGGGTCTCCTGCATTGCAGGCGGATTCTTTACCAACTGAGCCACCAGGGAAGCCCAGATAAATAAAATAGACCAAAAGAAAGAAAAACAGGTCCCGAGAGAACTGCAGATAGGTGTCACCAGCTTCACAGCTTTACCCTTCAGACCCGCCGGGCTCAGCGTAGAGCCCCGCGTGGACTCGGCCTTCACAGGCATTTCTGTCCAGCAAGGCTGGCTGGTTCTAAGCGCCACGTAGGAGAGCAGGTTAGAGAAGCAGGCGGGGGCCTCACCGGGGAGAGTGGTGTGACGTGGGGGCCACATCCCCGGGGAAGGAGGGCTCTTGGCCGCAGTCTGGCCTCTGACCTGCGTCACTGCAGGGAAACCTGGAAACCTCATTCTGTTACAGGAACCAGTGTACTGGTGCCCTTGTTTAGTTCAGTTCAGTTGCTCAGTCGTGTCCGACTCTTTGCAACCCCTTGGACCACAGCATGCCAGGCCTCCCTGTCCATCACCAACTCCCGGAGGTGGCTCAAACTCATGTCCATCGAGTCGGTGATGCCATCCAACCATCTCATACTCTGTCGTCCCCTTCTCCTCCTGCCTTCAACCTTTCCCAGCCTCAGGGTCTTTTCCAGTGAGTTGGCTCTTCTCATCACGTGGCCAAAGTATTGGAGCTTCAGCTTCAACATCAGTCCTTCCAGTGAACACCCAGGACTGATTGCCTTTAGGGTGGACTGGTTGCATCTCCTTGCAGTTCAAGGAACTCTTGAGCCTTCTCCAACGGACCTTGAGTCATGAAGAAAAAGTTAAACCCCGAGTATGCTTTGTTTAGCCGGCAGAAGTCTGGTTTTCTGCTGCTGGAACTTGGTGGCCCGTCCCGTGGTTCTCCAGGTGACTGGGCTCCCGCAGCTGCTCCTTCCCCGGGCGCCCTGTCGGCCGGGCCTGTGGTCATCCGGAGGCTGCGCCGGGGTGGGGCGCCTTCCACCGCTCACCCACGTGGGTGGCGGGCGGTGCCTTCTGTCAGCAGACGCCAAGCTTCGGTCTCTTCCTACTGGCTTCTCCACCTCACAGAATGACAGCTGGCTCCAAGGGAGAGTGCTTTCAAGCAGTTGAATGCCTCGGAAGTAGTCCGGCATCACTTCACTGCATTCTTGGCGGTCACAGCGAGTCACGGGGCCAGCTCAGATTCACAGGGAGAGGAAGTAGAGCCCACTGCTCCATGGGTCATCTCTGAATCAGCAGAACAGATGAGTGGGTGATGTGTATCTGTAGTCATGGTTTGTGTGAAAAGAGGCTAGGTCAGCCTTAGAAAGATGCCTATTCAGAAAATGTGACTGTTCCCCGAGGATTCAACGTGGTCAGTACTGTCTAAGTAAGATTTTACTTTAATTACAAGATGATTACACTTTTAGGGAGTACTGCAAGAGAAATATTTCAAGGATACATATTTGGTAATAGTAATAGCGCTGCTGCTTTTTTTTTTTTTTTAAGATAAAACAATTCAGAAATAGTACCTAAGGCAATCATCAGTCATAGTAACAGTAATTTAATTTACATGTATGATGAGATGCCTTGGAAGGGATTCTAATCAGAACAAAGCGAAAATTGAACCTAAACCTAAGCGTTACCTTCTCCTAAGCAGTAGAGTTTGTGGTCCTCGGGCGCCTTCGCAGTCAGCCTGTCCTGTGATCTCAGGCTGCCGTGCTTTTGGAGCTCTTCTGTGGGTCTGGTCTCCATGCAGAATTGTGGAGTTAATGCGTGTTACATCTGTATTATCACACCTTGACAGTCCCATTATAATTTTGAAACAGTGGCTTTCAGAATGAATTTTGAAGAACTCTACCCTCATACTGGGCTTCCCTGGCGGCTCAGATGGTAAAGCGTCTCCCTGCAGTGTGAGAGACCAGGGTTCGATCCCTGGGTCAGGAAGATCTCCTGGAGAAGGAAATGGCAACCCACTCCAGTATTCTTGCCTGGAAAATTCCATGGACAGAGGAGCCTGGTGGGCTACAGGCCACGGGGTCACAAAGAGTCAGACATGACTGAGGGACTTCACTTTCTTACCCTCATAGAGCTAGAACGTTCTTTCCCCACCCTGGCGATCAGTTTCTCCCTCTTGTGACCTGTGACTTTTTAAAAGTTCTATCCCAGCCCTCGTCCTACGCCCAGAGTATCCTTGCGTGTGTGACCAGTGCCTCGTTTATTAGTTTAAGCCCTGGAAAGGCACTCAGGAGTGTTTCCTAAGTGATGGACTGTTTCCTTGGAGCCTGACTTGACCAGCGGAGAAGTGTTTTGTTTTGTTTTCTTTTTATTACTTATGGTTAGAAGCTAGCCGTTTGAGACTACTAACTCTGACAATCTCGAGCAATAGTTCTGATAAATGAGCTGCCATAAAAAGAGTGATCTAGTGACGAGATATCATGAAATGTATTTTATTCTGCGTTCTTTTTTACTTGAGTTTTTCTTTGCTTTTAGTTTTCCCTTGGTTAATGTGAAAAGGTGCTTATTTCCAGCAATGCTGATTGAATTTTTTAAAAACCACTAATGATTGGAAAACGAAGGATCCCTTCCCTGACACATCCAGACTATTCCTAGTGTAAATTTTACCCTTTCTTAGGCAGTTTTTCTCTTCTTCATTTAAATTAAGTGTTGTAATTTGTTGCCTCTTAAATCTAACATGTTGCTCAAGAAATATGCTTGAGATTTCTGGTGTAGTTAAACAAATAAAAGACCTCATTAAGCAAAGCTAGCAAAGCCTCAGATGGGAAAAAATAATAAATTCACTCACTTGGCTTTGTAAATTAGCACAGGCAAATGTAAAATGAAAAAGAAAATTTAATACTCTTTTAAACTAAATAAATAAATAGTAGACCTTCTGAAGCCAATGTAGGGGAACACGCGCCAGGCCCTCAACAGTTTTTCCTTTTAGAGGGTCTGGCGTCTCCTTTGTGGTGGGATTAGTGACCACGTGATGGAGCCTCACGCTCACAATGTCCGCCTGTTGCTCCCGATTCTGCTGTCAATCAACATGCGGGGACCTGGGACAGGGGTCAGCAGAGAGAACCAGGTCCCGGGTGGGCTGTGCTCCAAACCGGCCAGAGAGAAATGCAACCAGCCAGACCTGAAGAGCGAGCCTGTGTTATTCCTGGCCTTTTAAACAGACAGCAGAAATGCCAGACAGTAACCCGTTAACAGAAAAAAATCAGGCTTTTGTTTTGGGATGCCTGTTGCTTTTTCTTTTGAGCATCTCGTGTGTCTGCGTACCTGACTTTCCTTCTGGTTTAGTTTGCGTCTAGCTTTATCGACCATCAGTGAACGCGCAGAAGAGTGCTGGAGCGAGCCGGCGCAGCAGAGAGTGGGTGCAGCCCGGAGTTCAGCGGGCGAGAGCCTTGACCTGCAGCCCGCAGGCTGGGACGTCTGAGCTGGTGTACGAGACGGCACTGTTGGCAGAGGGTTGTTGCGGGAGGATGCCGGAGGCTTAAGCTCCCTTGGAGAAGATGGAAGCAGCAGCCCTGGAATGTCCCAACTCTTCCTCCGAAAAACGCTATTTCCCCGAGTCCCTGGACTCCAGTGACGGGGATGAGGAGGGAATTCTGGCCTGTGAGGACTTGGAGCTTAACCCTTTCGATGGCTTGCCGTATTCATCACGTTACTATAAACTTCTGAAAGAAAGAGAAGACCTTCCAATATGGAAGGAAAAATACTCCTTCATGGAGAAGCTGCTTCAGAGTCAAATTGTGATCGTTTCGGGAGACGCGAAGTGTGGCAAGAGCTCTCAGGTGAGCAGCCCCTGCAGGAAACAGTCGGCTTTGTATGTTGTGCAGATAATCACAGCATCACAGCATAGTGTTCTGTTGTAAGAATGGTGTTGTCTAAACTGAAAAACAAAGCAGAAAGGAACCTTAGCAATTCAGGTTCATCAGATAAGTTACTTAACCTGATTTCCTTTATGAAAGCCAGCTGAATAAAAGTTAATACTTAGTAGAAATTAATCGTGTTTATTGTACCACTGAACTTTCTTTAGTAGAAAAATCTATTCAGCTTATTTTGTTGTAAAAAAAAAAAAGCATTCTGTTGTGCATATTGTATTTTAAAAGATGTTACTGGCCCACGGTAAGTTTTGGAATTAACTGCCATGTTTGCATGTCTAGCAGTCTGATACTCAGAATGCATGGATGTGCTTGTTGGTGACGTTGGTCAAGCTATGGAAAGTTAAAAACACAAGGAAATCTTTATTTTCCAAGCTCTGAGAAATAACGGAGGGCTTCCCTGGTGGCTCAGTGTGGTAAAGAATCCGCCTGCCAATGCAGGAGACAGAGGTTCGATCCCTGGGTGGGGAAGATCTCCTGGAGGAGGGAATGGCAACCCGCTTCAGTGTTCTTGCCTGTTAGTGACGACTTATTGACCAGTTTGTTGTTGTTATATTTGAACTCGAGGTTTGAGTGAGATCTATATTTTGTAAAGCAAGTGATAAGTATTTTTACTGTGAAATGAATTTACAGATTTTCACAATGTACAGAGTAGAATGCAGAAATAATCTGATAGAACCCCTGCATTTTTCAGATGATGAAACTCTGGCCCAGAGGGATGTGATCGTTTGTCTAATGAATGTCACGTGTCTGTCTTGGCATTCTGAGAACTCTTTACACTTTGCTGTTTCCAGGTTTTACTGCCTCTGAGCCTTCTTTGTTCTAAATGGAGCTTGAAGCGAGGTGAAATGAATCACAGGTGTTTTTTTTCCCCCTTTAATTTAGTTTGTAACTGCCAATATCCAGGGTGTATTATGATTTTCCCTTCGTTATGATGAGTTGTTGCTACGATGAATGACTTCAGTTTGTCCTAAGAAGCTAACGATTAACACTGAAGGAGTGTAATTTTCCTGGTTTCTGTGGACAAGTGGCAAGTTAAAAAATGATTTGGAGTTTTAATTTTGCAAAAATTTTAGACTTATACAAAGTTGCACAATAGTACAAAGATTTTTCCACATACAGTTGACTGAGATTCCACCAAAGTTAATATTTTACCAGATTTGCTTTATCGTTCTCGCTCTCCACACACACACACATTTTTATTCTGAGCCTTTTAAGAGTAAGTTGACGATATGATACCCTTTGCTTCCAAATACCTCAGCAGTACCTACTGAGAACAGGACTAGCCACAATATAATTACTGAAATCTAACTTGTAATATTCAAATTTCATCAGTTTTTCCACTAGGGACCTTTGTAATTAAAAAAAAAAAAACAACTCTAGTTCAGACTCCAGCCCACAGTTACACTGCATTTCCTTGTCCTTTCTCCTTAATCACCTTTGATCTGAAGCAGCTTCTCAGCCCTTCCTTGTCCTTCGCAACCACAACATTTTTTCGAAGGACAGGGTGGTAGGTGTTTTGCATAACCTCCCTCAGTTTGGATCTGTCTGGTGTTTCCTTTGCGTTAGACTCCAGGTCTACACTGGTGGCGGGAAGGACACAGAAGTGCTGTGTGTCTCCCCAGGACCTCACCGCAGGGGACAGCAGAGTTTTCTCGTGACTAGTGATGTTAAATCTGGGAACTTGACAAGGTGGTGACTGTCCTGGTGTCTTTTATAAAGTTACGATTTTCCCCCAATCATTTAAAATATATGGGGAGACACTTGGAGACCGTGTACAGGCTGCTTCTCTGCACACATCCACCTACCAATCTCAGGATCCTGGCATGATTCTTACCTTTGACATTATTACATGGTAGTAACGAAATGGTGATTTTTCTAATTCCGAGATTCCTTCTACATTCAATTTTTGGAATTCTTCTGTAAAACTGAGCTTTTTCGCCTTCATTATTTATTTATTCATTTACTTATGTCAGTGTGGACTCATGAGTTCTTACTCTGTGGGTAATAGTTCATTACGAAGCACATTTATTTTGTTGCTCAAACTGTTCCTAATGTGGCCTGTGTCCCTTCGGGATGACTCCTGTGTCCTTCTGGCATCATTCTCTGAGCGCGCCTCTGCCTTCCGGCCCAGGAAGGTGCTACAGGCTCATCTAGTATGCTCCTTGTTCCAGTCTTAGAAAAGCCATTTTCCCCGAAGAGCTCTGGTGGTTCCTTTTAGTGGAGAATCATGTTTAAAAACTGAGTGAAGTGAAGTGAATGTTGCTCGGTCGTGTCCGACTCTTTGCGACCCCATGGACTGCAGTCCAGGGAATTCTCCCGGCCAGAATACTGCAGTGGGTAGCCTTTCCCTTCTCTGGGGATCTTCCCAACCCAGGGATCGAACCCAGGTCTCCCGCATTGCGGACAGACTCTTTACCGGCTGAGCCAGAAGGGAAGCCCAAGATGTGTCAGAAGTGGGGTGCTGCTGGCTTACCGTTGCTCTCGGGCTCTCTCAGTGAGCAGAGAGGGAAGTAACATATGTTGTGTGCACGCGCACCCCTCTGTCTTTCTAGCTCCGAGGCTGTTTCTCCTTCTCTCTCTCTCTAGCTCTTTCAGTTTCTCTCTGTCTCTTCACTTCTCTGTATTTCTTTCCCTATCCATACTTCTGTTTTATCTGTATTTCTGTCTCTCTCTCCTTAAAAACCATGGGTTCCTACTGATGCTTCTGATTCCAGTTCAGCCGTCAGCACTCATCCGAGCCTTCCCCGTTTCCATGTCTGTACTTCCTCCTCTGTGGGCAACTGAGCTCTCATTACTCACAGTTGCTTGGTCAGTCTTAGAATTCTCAAAATTTAGTTTCAGAACTGCTAACCTACACAGTCATTTAAAAGAAAATTTTATCTATACTTGAGTTTTGTTTTAGAATGTGTGCTTTTAAAGGGCAAGAATTGTTACCCTGTAATACGTTAATACCTAGCGGCGCTTTCTCTTGTCATCTTTAACTTCTTGATCATTTTAATGAATCATGCTTGTTTCTGTTAAGTGTGAAGGCAGTATGTGTCTTCAGAGTGGGAGAAATCAAAGTAGTATTCAGATGAGACTGGGGGCCTCTTCTAAACCAATTTAAATAATGAAAGCATTGGTTGTCTCCTTACTTACGGAAACAACTTGGTTATTTTTTTTAAAAGAGCTTCCAAGACTATTTTCTTTTTCCTCAGCATTTTAAACCTTTCAAAGAGAAGTCTGACTTTAGCCTCAAGCCTTTCAAAGAGGACCACGGGTGTTCTGCTGGATCTTAAAAATTCCATCTCTCTTTGGTACAGGTGGGATGGAAGGCTATTTAGTGACTGACCTCTGGAAAAGGGGACAGCTTTTCATGTGTTTAGAGAGCTTTTCCTATTACCTCTTTTTGGAGCAAGTTTATGAAAAAGCCTGAAAGAGAATGAAATATTTTTGGAGCTGTCTTATTTTACTTGTCCTGAAATTTCCCATGACATGGATGGGTTAGTGAGCTGAATAAGCAGGACATACCTGAGATTTAGCCTAAATTAAGAAGCTGGATGCTATAGAATGTGTTCACTTTTAAAACTTCACCTTTTAACACCTGTAACTTACCCCTGTTTTCTGCTGGCAGAGTCTACTTGTGTTCACTCAAGGTGTATACAGATTGTGGTATCCAGGGATGTGTGACGTTTATTCTAGCAGGGGACCCTCTCTCAGGAGTGTGTTCTGACCTCCTGGTTCCTGTGGGCAGCTTAGGCAGCTTGCAGGAATGTTGTAGTAGCGATTCATGCCTTGGGGTGAATTGCTGGTCCTTAAAATTCCTTTCAGGCTTCCCAGGTGGCTTGGTGGTACCTGCAATGCAGGAGACACGGGTTTAATCCCTGGGGTGGGAATATCCCCCTGGAGGAGGAAATGGCAACCCACTGCAGTATTCTTGCCTGGAGAATTCCATGGACAGAGGCATCTGGCGGGCTACAGTCCACAGGGTCACAGAGAGTTAGGAGACGACTTAGTGGCTGAGCAACGATAGCGCGGTTCCTTTCAACGTTGCGTTCCGTGACTCTGGTGCTTAAATGAGAGTGAGTGACTGGGACCTCAGCACAGCTGTACCCTGGGTGGCCCAGAAGAGGAACTGGCTTCCTGGGGCAGACCAGAGGTTCTAAAGGAGGGCTTGGGGCCTTGGGACTAGAATGCGTTTAACTGTAGCAGTGCTGGGTCTCCTAGATCCCTTTTGTCTCATGTCGTGTACTCACGTGTCCACCAGAGGAGGGGCCCAGTCTCTCCTCGTGGGCGGAGGGGCAGGAGGCTCCACACGAGCGTGACAGGCGGCTGTCCTCCTGGTTCGGATCCAGATCGGCCCAGCTAGAACCCCGGCCCCAGCTTCCTGGAGCCCAGCAGCCCAGCCCCGTGCCTGTCGCCTGGGGTGGGGGATGGAGAGTCTTGGCTTCTTCATTTTCTGAATTGGTGCAACTTGTAGAACTCCAATTACAAAGCCAAGACGGTGAAGCCTTGATCTAGATTAGACTCTGGGTCCTCGGAGGACTCCTCTCATCTGCTCTTGTAGCAGCAGGCTGGCTGGGGTCCCGGCGACTTGCTTGCAGGGAGGAGATACGGCCAAGAGCTGGTTCCACTCCAACCCTGATTGTGCACCCGGAGCCCGGTCGAGGCGGACTTTAACACGTAGGCCCATCACGTAGTCTAGAAAATGGCCTTTAAAGCTAGGTTGAGGGGGCTTCCCTGGCCATCCAGTGGTTGAGACTCCACGCCTCCACTGCAGGGGGCATGGGTTTAATCCCTGGTTGGGAGACAAAGATCCCGCATGCCACACCCTAAGATTAAAATAAAATAACTGGATCTAGAGAATGTGCAAAAATCGTTAGGTGAGTTCAGAATGGAAATATTTGAAGTCCTGGTTTCTAGGAGGGAAAAATTCTAGACCACATACCTAAACGTGAGTGTTGTCTGTTGCCAAAACTTCCAGGTAAATTTGTAAGTAGGTTGGGCTTTTTTATTTTTTCAGTTATAAAACAACAGTTTCCTACCTTGTTTACCAAGATGGTTATAAAGTTGCGCAACTTTCGATAAGAACCAAAGTGTGTTCTAGATGCCAGAGGGGAGGGGAGGGGTGTCTTCCAAAGAGAAACTGGAAAGCATCACGACGTCTCCAACAGGCGCACACATTACCCCTGAGGAGGGGAAGGGACTGTTGGGGTAAAGAAGCCGTCACTCCCGGAGGAGAGTCAGAATCAGGGCACGTCATGGTGTGCTGTCTGTTATGAGTGCCAAGAATGCAAGAGTGCCCAGTGAAGCTGAAATCCTAGTGCCTGAAATCCTTGAGGTTATGAAATGTTCACACATCCGGCACTTGGCGAGCCGTCATTTCTTTCAGCCGAGACTCGGAGTCTGCCATGTCCCCAAACTTCACAGGGTACCTTTGCTTGCCTAGAGTGATTCAGAAGGCCTGCCGAAGCTCGGAAGTTGTAATAATTAGGAGAGATGATTTCAGGTGTCTCTCCTCTTTGTTGAGAGACAAGCCTTTCAGTTTATGTTGGCATCCCTGCTGTTATCCGTGTGTGACCGTGGCCCACAGGGGCGGTACGTGGTCTGCAGAGCTGCCCGGAGAGGCGCTCTGCAGTTAGCTGTAACTTGTGCTCAGCTCGGCTGTGTCAGCAGAGTAACCCCTACAGTAAGCCCAACACGCATGTGTCCAGTCTTCCCGCTGGTTATTGTCACTGATGCTTAGAAGAGCTGTCCGATTTCTGAATGGTACTCTTTGCCTCATCGGTGAAAAAATTTGCTCTACTGTGGGGGAGGCCTAAAGGACAGTGAGGAGTAAATGGAAATCAGCGCCAGCCCTGTGGAGAAAACAGCACAGGAGCTCAGACTTTGAGGGGTGGCTCTCATCCATTCACCCCGTTTTACAGGAAAGGGAGTGGAAGCTTGGCGAAATCATGAGTTACAAATCAGAAGCTAGTGGCCGGTCAGGTCTAGAACTCCTGACTTCGGTCCACTTGAGCGCCTTGTCCTGTCCTGTGCCTCAATTCCACCTCTGCTGAGGGTAGTGTGTTAAATGTCTCGTCTTTCGTTGAACAAGGGCTTCCCTCGTAGCTCAGTTGATAAAGAATCCGCCTGCAGTGCAGGAGACCCCAGTTCAATTCCTGGGTCGGGAGGATCCCCTGGAGAAGGGATAGGCTACCCACTGCAGTATTCTGGCCTGGAGAATTCCACGGACTATACAGTCACAAAGAGTCAGACAAAGCCGGTATTGAGTAAATGATTGCTGATTAGTTTTCAGCCTGTTGACAAGGCTGACACCTGTCTTAAAATAGAGGAACTGCATTTACACTTCCAGTCATCAGGAATCTGCAAGTTACAGCAGGTGTTCATTTTGTAGTTACTTGATTTCTGGTAAGTCACGTTTATTTTTCAAGTTATAATGAGTAGTAAAATCTAGGAATCTCACAGTGGGTCTAGTAAATAGCAAATCTGAAGATAATTAAAAATGTCAAAACTCTTAAATACCTTGAATTTATTAAAAAGCACTCAGAATGATTTATTTTAAAAATATATGTAACAAAGTAAAACTTACTGACAGTGCCCTAAGATTGCTGCATACACATATATGTGTATGAGATGTAGATTCATATATGTGTATACTGTTGTAAATTTGTAATACATAGAAGAAAAGTTTTAAAAAGATTGCAGAATACAAATGAATTAGTACTTTCTACTATAATAATTCTTACCCAGATAAACTTGATAGAATTAATTAAACTATTATACATTTTCAGTACAAGGATTTGAAAAGAAATAACTCAGCCATCTTGTAATTGACTCTTTCTAAATCTGAAAAGATTGGTTGGTTATCTCACTGAGCTCATTTTTCATTATACTTAGTTGATAAATGCCAGTGTATTTTAGCTTTTATTGCCAGGGAAAGTTAAAGTAGGCTTATCTGGTTATTTTGTTATGATCATTTAGATTTAAATGTAAATTTTGTAATTTTGAACCACTATTTTAAATCTAAATGATATTTAATATTTACATTGCTTAAAGCATAAGAGTTGGTACCAAAAGCCATATCTTTGATGGTGCTTTCTTTTAACCAGAAAGAAAATAATAATCTTAAATATATTAATCTTTTCATAAGAGCTGAGGTTAAAAAACATTTTTTTTTACTTTGCCTTTTATTTTTTAATCTTCCTTTTTTCATCTGAGAGTCTTAACTTTCACAGTCCATGCTAACTGCTGTTTATTCCTAACTTTATTTTCTAGTAATAACTCGATGCATAAATACAGGTTGCTCAGTTTCACGTCGTGCGGCCCACTGGTGATGCACTGGTGGGAGGGACAGTCACGTGTGAGACGAACCCTCGGGTGTTGTCGCTGGCTCGTGGGGCTGACCCTGTCCCGTCCGTCCCGCGCAGGTTCCGCAGTGGTGTGCCGAGTACTGCCTTTCCGTCCACTACCAGCACGGGGGCGTGGTGTGCACCCAGGTCCACAAGCCCACGGCGGTCCAGCTCGCCCTCCGCGTGGCCGACGAGATGGATGTTAACATCGGTCATGAAGTCGGCTACGTGATTCCTTTCGAGAACTGCTGCACCAGCGAAACCATCCTGAGGTTGGTCCGGGGGCTTTCTCGTGCTGTGCCCGATGCGGCTCCTGGCTCGTCTTCTGCAGTCCCAGAAGGGCGTGTTCTTTGCGCTCTCTGCTTTAAGCACCTGTAACTTGTGTAACAGTTACTCATCTCTCTGTCACCAGCCTGACACCATCAGAGATCCCCTGTCTGTAAACTTGTTCCGTATCTCCCCACGGCCCTCAAGGAGAAGTTCTGACTTGTCAGGCCGGCCCCGGAGACCTTCCGGAGCTCCAGCTTCGGTGGGTCTGTGAGAGCTGTCTGTGTGCCAGCCGCGGTGGCACGCGGCTCTCCGAGCCCACGGGCCTCGATACATTCTTCTGTCCGCTCGGGATGTCTGTGCCTCCTCCAGGCCGGCTCATTTCCTCGTCACGAGCGGCCCTGTGCAGAGGTCGCCCGCCCCACGCAGACCCTCGGCCTTCCCTTGGTGTAAATTAGAACCTCTCTGCTGGGCTCTGTAAGGTGTCATGTCAGCCTTCGTGGTGGCAGAGTCTTTGAGACTCTTCTTTTCAGGTGCTTCCGGGTTCCAGGGACCCTTGTCGGTAGCTCCCACAAGTTGTGAGGGGGAGAAAAAGCCCTTTCATCTGTTTTTAGCTTCACTGTGAGGTTTCCTTTACACAGCGGGTTCCAAGAGTTTAGCAGGAGGAAAAAGAAAAGTGGGAAAACCCCTACTCCGGGCCCGTTTCTCAGGCAGGTTCCCGTCGCAGCCCTCATGGGAGGATGAGGCGTCGCCGGGCCTCAGCTGCCCAGGCGGTGCCCGCCCCGACCCCGGGGCCGAGACGTGGTCTCGGCAGCGGTGCGTCTGCCCGTCTCTCCCCCTGCTGGGGGCACGGCCGCGCGCCGGGGCACAGCCGCTGGGAACGCCCCCTGCCGGCCTCGCAAGGGCGCTGCGGCATCCCCGGCGTTGCGCAGCCGGCCGCGGAGCGTGGCAGGGCTGGTCTCTGCGCACCGTACCCCCAGCGTCTGACGCGCTGTCCCGCGGAGGGCGTGCAGCACCCTCGGTTACGGCAGGGAAGACTAGCGCTGGTCCCCGCCGGCCGCTGCAGACCCGGGCAGAGTGCTTCTCACACCCAGAATGTCTGCAGAACTCTCTCAGCTTGCAGGAAGCTGCTTTCCCACAAACGTTTACCTTCAAGAGTAGAAGACATCAGTCTTCAGGCCGGTGTTAAACCATAGGGAATCTTGCCATCAAGAGCACTGGGCTTGCACTTCTTGAAGATATGTAACCCGCTTTTATTAGCGCCGTGATGTCCCCGAGTCATGGTGTTAGTGTGTGTTTATAAACTGTCTATTATGATGCAAACGGTAAACGGACAGACCTCCCTGCTTTGGGGACCTCACAGACGAGTTGAGGAGTTGGGCAGAACATGCACCCCTGAAAGGGTGAAGGATCCCACGCTCAGCAGATTCATTTTTCATCCTTTATATTTTAAAGTGGCCTTTCAAGTGGTTATGCTTTTAATTAAAGGATAGCTCTGACTAGTTTACATTTAATAGATGTATTTTTATCTTTATTGCCATCTCAACTTTGGCAACCTTATGAAAAGGACTCTTGGATGTAGTCACTTTTAATATGAAATCTTTTGGTGTTTTTATCTTATTAATATAGATCAAGTGTATATATGTGTGTGTGTGTGTGTGTGTGTGTGTGTGTGTATATATATGGTTTTTTTTTTAGAAAGTCATAGAGATAAACGCTTATGGAGTAACCCAGTAATGTCGTCAGCGCAGGTCAGAGACACACCTCACCTTTTACACATCTGTTCTGGACAGGGACTTGGCTTTCATGCATCATGGGGGAAACACTGTAGTTCTATTGGCATTCAGTCCTTACAGCCAAAGGCAGGAGTACAGTTTCTGGTGACTATTTTCTTTAGCTCTTTCTGCATGTGGCTTTCCTTTCTTAACGTAGAAAATGGCCTTCAGAAGGTGTGGAGGAGCTGAACCGCCGGCACAGCTCTGCAGGTTCTGGCGGCTTCCGCCTCTGCCCGATGCCTGGGCCTCCTCTCGTCTTTTCTGTTTGCTTCCCGGGCACGCTTGCTGCTGGGATGGTGCACTTTCCACCCGACATTCCTCAGCCAGTGCAGAGTCAGCAGATACTCTGATTTGTTGCTCACAGAGTTTGAGTTGCAAGCAAAGGGGCCAGAGCTAGTGAAAAGCCCTGTGTTGATAGAAGGAAGTCGTCCTTTCTTTTCTTCCTGGCCCTCTGTGCTCCGAAGGGCAGGTGGCGTGGCTGTGAAATGAGTCTCTGCCACCCACCCACCTGTGGCCTCGCGCTAGTCCCCACCTGCCTGCTCACGCGCCCTCACCGCTGAGCCGCAGTGGCTGACGCACGTGCTCGGGGTGGTTGTGAGAACTCAGGCAGCGGCGATCTGGGTGGGTGAAGAGGTAAACTCCAGCCACGCTCACTGCTTGGAAGATGCGAACTCGCCATAGTTATTGGTGAGTTCAGATTGAAAAGCTGTTTAAATAAGAGGCTCTAACGGTGACTGTTGACGATGGAGGGCAGTATTCTGTATTTGATATTGTCTTTTCCATTTTCTTTGTACCTCCTTAGCATCTAATCTGTTGGGCACATAATAGACACTTAGTAAATATAATCTTTATGCCACTGCCATTTTTCTGAATTCTATATAGAACAATGGAGTTCTTCTTTAAGCTTTTTCCTGGCTTTTTTCTAACCAGTGGATACTTGAATATCATGTGCCTAAAACAGTCTTTGAACTGTTAATAGATATCACAGTATCTTGTGGAAGTGATACATAAATTTCAAATAAGAACCTTCTAGAACACAGATTTTTTTTAAAAAATTTCTCAAATTTTTAAGGTCAAATTCAATAAATATAACTTTTAAAATATATTAATTATACTTTCCTATATTATGTTCTTAGCTTTCAGAAATTTAGTCTTAAGAATTTAAGGTATAAATAACATTTCCAAGATGCATCCCTCTTTTTACATGGTCATCAGGGACAGCGTTTTCTTAGGCACTGTACACATGATCTTATTAATATGAGGTAAGAAATAGGTCTCTGATTATGTAGAAAGCTGGAGGTTTGTGTGGTAAGTTTTAGGATTGATCCTTAGTATTCCCTTCAGTTCAGTTCAGTTCAGTCGCTCAGTTGTGTCCAACTCTTTGCGACCCCATGGACCACAGCACGCCAGGCCTCCCTGTCCATCACCAACTCCTGGAGTTTACTCAAAACAATGTCCATTGAGTCGGTGATGCCATCCAGCCATCTCATCCTCTGCCGTCCCCTTCTCCTCCTGCCTTCAATCCCTCCCAGCATCAGGGTCTTCTCCAATGAGTCAGCTCTTCTCATGAGGTGGCCAAAATATTGGAGTTTCAGCTTCAACATCAGTCCCTCCAATGAACACCCAGGACTGATCTCCTTTAGGATGGGCTGGTTGGATCTCCTTGCAGCCATCCAAAAGGCCAGGTCTAGCTTGCTGAGTCTCGTAGTTTTAGGTGAGTCACAACTTCTCCCTTTTTGATTAAGCCTGGACATTTTTCCAAGGTCAGCAGAGGGAAAAGGTGCCAGGGCGCAGCCCACAGGAACCCGGCAGGCGTCCCGGAGCCCCTCCCCGTGGACTCACCCGGCACACGCTTCGTCCCTCCAGCTGTGAGTTGTGACAACAGGTGTGAAACATGGTCCTGTCTGTCAGGGGACTCATCAGAGACTCTGTGCCAGGGGTCTGTGCTGGGGGCTGGTCACATGGGCACCCTCTGCCTCCTGCTGTATTCTAAAATTCCGGACTCCCAGAAGGAGAGCAGGTTAGACCATATTACAGACAGTAAGCCTCAGTTCTGGGAACGTGAGAATGCGCCCAAGTCTAAGTTCCCAAATGCCTGCCCAGCGGCACCCTTGCAGGCAGGCCCTTCTCAGAATAGCCGTTCAGACCTGCCATCCACAGGGCCAAATAAAATCATACCTTAAATTGGTATAAAGTTTGTGGATTGGTGTCCTCAAGGAATAATATAGATATGTGAACACTGTCAGAAAGATGATGTTTGTATGGTTCTGGATGATTAATAGGTGTTTGTGATTATTTTTTAAAAAAAAGAACTACTAGAAAATTCCATTAAAATCACTACTGACCCCTTCCTCCTCCAGGAATACTCCACAGTTTGCATGCTGCCCTCAAATAGGTGATTCCTTTTTAGGTGCTTTTGTGTGGGTATTATTTGGGTGACATTTCAAACATGTCTATGCTCACACCTTGGTGACGTCATCTCCCCAAAAATGCCACCAACAGAGCCCTTCTGCTGGACCCACCGGGCCAAGAACCTGAGCCAGGAAGGTCATCCGTGCACGTGTGTGTGCTCCACTGAAGAGTCTGTGCTCCCGCTCGACGTTCTTCCACTGATGAACGAGGGGAAGACTCGTACCCAACAGGAGTATTTTGCTAGATTGCTTTTTTGTTTAAAAAACTCAGGGCAGATGTTCAGTGTAGCTCTTGTTAGTCTCTGTAATAGACATTTAAGGCAGAGGTCTCTAACCTGACGTTCAGCGCTGGTCTCTAGAGGGTCGGTGAACATATGCAAACTGCACTTAAAATTTTGTTTATATGTATTTTTCTGTTTTGAAGGTCTGTAGATTTTATCAGCTTAAAGGAGTCTTGGCCCCGATAAAGATTTTAAGCTCCTGATTTAGACAAAAGGATACAGGAAAGGCATTTTTGTGGCTTATGTCAGGAGTTTCTTGTTTGATCTTTTTCATGAGAACATTCTAACGTTAATGTTTCCTCTTTGTAGGTATTGTACTGATGATATGTTGCAAAGAGAAATGATGTCCAATCCTTTTTTGGGTAGCTATGGGGTCATCATCTTAGATGATATTCACGAAAGAAGCATCGCAACTGACGTGTTACTTGGACTTCTTAAAGATGTGTTACTAGCAAGACCAGAACTGAAGCTCATAATTAACTCCTCACCTCACCTGATCAACAAACTCAGTTCTTACTATGGAAACGTGCCTCTCATCCAAGTGAAAAACAAGCATCCTGTGGAGGTTGTGTACCTTAGTGGGGCTCAGAAGGAGTCTTTTGAGTCTATTTTACGCCTTATCTTTGAAGTTCACCACTCGGGTGAGAAGGGTGACATCGTAGTCTTTCTGGCCTGTGAACAGGTAAGTAATACTCTAACTACCAGAGCAATAAGGTTACTTACTGGGAGCCTTTGAACCTTGCTGGGAAGCTTTGAATAACAAACAGGTTTCAGTTTGCTAATTAGCTGTTTAAATGTTTGGTTCTATCACACCTCATTTCTCTATAGTTCGGAAGAAGCTTCAATAAAGAGTAAATAAAGCCTGTGCTTGAAAGTTGAATGGGGAAATGCTTCTGAAAGCAGGCGTTGTTCTGAAACACGGAATGGGGAGGGGGAGGGGGGAGTCCGAGGAGCTTGTGGGGTGACCTCCAGAGCTGACTTCATTCCCCCGGGGCAGGCGGTATCCTGGGCTGCCCCAGAGGCTCGCAGTGAGCCCTCTCAGCAGAGGGGACAGTGGTGCGGCTGCCCCCTCACGGCAGGAACAGGGCTGGAGATGCAGAGCACATCCTCAGTGCTTGGCGGAGAATCGGGGCGTGCTCCTACAGCCAGCCGTCAGTGGAGAATTAGGCAGAACACTGGAGTTTATGGCACACCCAGAGGGCTGTCTCCCTACACTTTTCTTAAAAGATGAATGAGAAAACCCTTCCCTTGAAGCTGTCTTTCCCAAAGAACAACTGGCAACATACACCTGAGCGTCTGTCACTGCTTTCAGACAGTCAGGGCCCACTTGGGGTGGCATTGGTCTCACGCAGCTACCCTGACCCTGCTTCGCTCTCTCCCACCGTTCTGAGGGCCGAATCTGAAAACCTCCAGAATCGTAAGAGTTAGACTTTCTTCTTCGAGACTGACTGCCTGGCCTTTTCCTCCTTACCCGTCATTTCACTCCAAGAGTAAACGCCCTACCTTTTAGACCATGACCCAAATACACAGCGTTTCAAGTGATTAAACAGAAACCGAAGGGAAGCTGCTTGCTACTGGCTGAGCCACGAGCTGAACAAAGACAGGCGCCTCGTCTCTCGGTCAGAGACTTAAGCGTGCACACGCTTTCTGAAACACCTTCAAGAGCGTTCATTCTGCTTATAGTCACAGCATGAAGGATGACTGAGCCTTTAGCTTTGAGACCTTTAGACAGTTTTCTCACAATATAAATTTTATCTGTTTCTATAAAGAAAGTAATTCAGAATCTCAAGTATATGATAAACCACAGCATATTTATGTTTCTCATGTATAGATTATACAGTTTCTTGAGTAGTAAATCTGCCTGCTCCAGTGATGTATTCTATTATCATTCCTTAATCTTGCATGATTCAAGATATTCAAGAAAGTCCTGAGGGAAGAAATAAAATGATTAAGGAGACAGGGAAAGGATTTCTGAAAACAGGTTTTCGGTATAGCTGGGTGAAGTCTCAAGAAGGAGGAAGGGCAGAATTAAAGAGTCTAAGGCATTTGGAAGTTAGAGTTGCCAGGTGAAGAGAAGGCATACATCTCAATGATGGGGACGGGGGCAGTATAATTAAGACTGATAGAGTGAGTAGACATCTTCAGAGTCACCAGAAATTCTCAAATGGATTTTTGAAAAATAAAGCTCATAACAGAGTTGGGGTAGTATTTGATTCTTTAATAGAAGCTGTAAGAGATGGCATAGTGACTTTTGAATTGTCAGACTTGAGAAGATGCATTTTTACCTAGGATAGTAGTAGAAGCTGTAAAATCCACAGGGCTTAGAAGGGTATAGAATCTTCCTGGCAGTCAGAACAGAAAGACATCTCCTGTTAAGAAACCATCAGTCCTGCAGAGTCTTAAAGTCACGCGCGTGATAGTGCAGGGAAAGCTCGGGGCGGAGTTTGCAATTCTGAGCCTCTGAGCCTGGCAGCGGCTGCTGATGTGGCCGAGTCTAGCACTGGGTCTCTGGGGGGGTCTCCTTCTCGTCCAGAGGCTCCCAGCAGGCTGCCCGGTGGGTGGGCAGGGCAGCCATCCTGCAGCTAGACGTGCCTGCTCTGGGACCAGCGTTCTTCCTCACAGCCCAGCCCCAGATTCCACAGCTGTTACCTGGTTTTCTTTTCTCCATCTATCCCCTAACAAGCTGAACACAGCTTAGTATCCTGATGGACTTTTCTTTTTCACTCCTTATGTCAGGATTAACTGGCATAAGATGCACTGCTATGGTCTCAGAATTTGTCTTTTGGAAAATTTTGTCTTGCCCTGAAATCCATGTTAACAGCTATTGACCATCTTGCCCCTTGCTGTTTGAATCTTCCTTGATTTCAATATACAAGTTTAGAATCAGCCCCAGCAAACCAAATGTCATATGAAAACAAACCCAAGTGGTCTAACAGAAGTGTACTCCTTGTTGTTTTTCCTCTGAAGAAATCCGTGTGAAGGTGCAGAAGCGCCCTCAGACCTTTCGGCTCGGCGGACGTCAGGGGCCTGCCGTCTCCCCTGACCGCTGGCTCAGCCCCGCGTGCTGTGAGTCAGCACCACGAGCCGCACTCCCTGTGTCTCCGGCTCAGTTGAGACCTGGAGGCCTGTGTGTTTACAGGGTGTTGTTCCTAACCACTTCACCATCTTTTAACCTGAAGAAAAAGTGAAGTAGGTTAACTAGCAAACAAAGACAAATGAGACCGTCTAGCCAGATGGTGGTGCAACTTGAAGCGGTCCCAGGAAGGTGCTCTTAGGTGGAAGGTTTTCCTGGGAAATATTCCATCTGGTCACGGCCCTGTCACCTGGGGCCGGATGTCTTCCTTCAGCGCAGGGGGCTGCATCTTCCATAGTTGTTGCACGTATCATGGGAAAGCCCTGCAGATATAAATGCTCTGAACACCTTGAACCAGAAGGAAATCAGTAAACAGTTTGACATACCAGATGAATATCTTAGGCACTTTTTAAAAATTCTGAAGATATGACCTCCAAACTTTCTGTCATCTGAGCTTGAGGAACCTAAAGTAGATGCAGTAATGTTTCTATTTTGCTCTGCTTTTTTTCTTTTCGAAGATTTTTAAAAATTCTTTTTCCTCTCCATTTGGAACAAAATTCAACATTAGATTCCTGTATAACTAAAGTTTTAGCAGCTGGAAGCAAATGAAAAATGATAGGCCTCAATTCTCAGAGAGTGAGAGAACTATTGCAGTGCAGTTTGAAGGTTTATTTTGATTGGACACTTGTGAGTGGGCTGCTAGAATCAAGCCTCCGCTTCCAGCTCGGGTGGCTGTGTGTGCCAAGGTTGCCACCTCCCCACCAGGAGGAACGTACCCAGGTCCCTGTGAGGTCTGGGCAGTAGCCACATGCAGGGAGACACAGATCAAGGACTTACTCTCCTCTCTGCAAATCTCTAAGCTTGCCTTGCTGAAAATGTGACATGATTAGAATGATTTTAAAAAATTGGAATAAATAGCTTTATTCTGATTATTCCAGCTGGCAGACTTTCATTCTTTACAGTCAGTAGTCCTGCTCTTTGCTTGGTTAAAAAAAAAACCTGCCCCAAGTAGCCCAGCTGCATAGGAAAGGGAAATGTGAGCAGGAGGAGGTGCCCAGGTGACGGCGGTGTGGGCCACAGCCTCTGCCCTGCCTCCCTGGGGTCTCTGGGGTAATAGGCCACCCCAGGTCTTGCTGCTTCCCAGGCAGATCTATCCGCCTGCGAAGCCCTTGAGTTAGTTCAGTCCCATCCGACAGGTGGTGTGGAGGGAAGGAAAGATGAGCTGGAGTGCTGGGCAGGGGCTTCAAATCTTTATAACAGTCACAGAAGGCATCATTTTACTTAGACTTTTAATGAAATCTAATCTAATAAAATGAAATAGGGCTTCCTGTTAAGACTGAAACTCCAATACTTTGGTCACCTGATTCGTAGAACTGACTCATTTGAAAAGACCCTGATGCTGGGAAAGATTGAAGGCAGGAGGAGAAGGGGACAGAGAGGATGAGACGGTTGGATGGCATCACCAACTCAATGGACATGAGTTTGAGTAAACTCCAGGAGTTGGTGATGGATAGGAAGGCCTGGCATGCTGCGGTTCATGGGGTGCGCTCGGATATGACTGAGCGACTGAACTGATTGACTTTCTCCATCTGGTAGTTAGACCCTTAAAAAAAAAAAAACAAATTTTGGGAACAAATTTAAAAGGTGTAAGAATTACATTGTGACATCTTTCTTATTTGAGGTTGTAGAAATCTGGTTGTGATTTGAGAAAAATTTAATAGAAAAGTACTGTGTAAAATGTCTTGTTTTTTGAGCATTTTGCACGAATATACTTGTTTATAGTTTTAGGGCACATAATTTACTCTTTTTCAATGTATTTGATAATGAAACATTTTTAAAGAGTATTTCTAAATTCCTGAATCTTGCACATATATAAATAACTGATTATTTCCTGCCTGCTTCATTGCATTTCTGCTGTGTTTAAAATGCTGAGTGCTAATGGGTAATAATTTTCAGAATGACCCAGATTAAAGTCCTGATTATGGAACAAATGTGTAAGTATATACGCTTCTATTGGAAACCTAGAGATTGCTTTACAGTTCTTGGTTCTGCCACCATCAGAGCACAGTGGTGCATTCTCACTGATCTGAAAACAACTTTTGTTTCCCTGTCATTGCTAACAGATGTGAGAAGTTGCCTCAAGCTAGAGAAATGCATGAAGGCAAAGACAGTACATTTCACAAGAGGAAAGCCATTTTGGACTAAAAGCAATGAAGTCATTTATAAATTATATTTAACTTCCCCAAAGAAATGTCCTTACACAGTTATATCTTCTTTTCATGTTTAACAATATCTGTAGATAACAAGTATTTCTTTCCGTGAATACCTTATGCATCTTTTGCCAAATTTTTAAAAATGTTTTTTTTATTTTTTACACTTTTGTTTTGTTTTGGAGTATAGCCGATTAACAAAATTGCGATAGCTTCAGGTGGACAGAAAAGGGACCTAGCCATTCAAACCCACGTGTCCATTCTCCCCTGAACTCCCCTCCCATCCAGGCTGCCACATAACATTGAGCGGAGTTCCCTGTGCTATTCAGTAGGTCCTTGTTTTGCCTATAGTTTTATGTAATGTGGATAAAGTTGTTTGTAATGTACTTTATTCTCATGGATGATGTTCTTCTTTTACTTTAGGATATTGAAAAAGCCTATGAAATTGTCTGTCAAGAAGGATCTAACTTAAACCCAGATCTTGGAGAGCTGGTAGTTGTTCCTTTGTATCCAAAAGAGAAGTGTGCACTGTTCAAGCCAAACGACGAAACAGAGAAAAGATGCCCAGTTTATCAGAGACGAGTGGTGTTAACGGCTAGCTCCGGAGAATCTTTGATCTGTAGCAACACAGTCAAGTTTGTTATTGATGTGGGTGTGGAGAGAAGAAAGGTAATTATTTTTGAGTAGGTAAATTGCCTAGACTAAATTGAGCAGGGCAGTTATCAGACTGCTCATTGTCTTGGGTTCCTGTCATTTTGCGGTCTGGGGCCTTCTCTGTATTTGGCCATGTGTGCAGAGAAGCACTGTTACATGCAGGAACCGAAGTCTTGAGCATAGGTAACTGCCTTTCATTAGCAGGTTGGCAGTCTGGAAAATTAAATTGATTGAGGTGCTAACAGGAAAAGTTTTAAGGAAACACAACTAGTAAAGCAAATTACCTGACTCCTAAGCTAATCTTTTCTCCCATACATGTCTTAGGTGTTTTTGGCGGTCTCTTTATCAGAGTAATTAGCATCTTCTCTCAGGTAGTTTACCAGAGATCAGTTTCAAGCGCACTGACTCTGACGCTAGCAAATTTTGGCTTTATCGTTGACATGGTAAAATCCCACCCTAAATTTAAAAAAATGTGTGTGTGCTTTCAATCACTGCCCTTAGAAATTAGGAAGAACGGAAACAGGACGGCTCAAGCTGTCAGAGACGGTGGGGATCTGGAAGTCCGAGCATGTAAACTGAAAAGAACCTACCCTGAGTGTTGATCCATTTACTGTTATTAGGTGCTCTGTTGCTTTCATCCCTCCAGGAGACTGTGGGTCTCCTAAGTGCCCTTGATTACTGTGACAGAGCCATTCCAGCCATTAGGAAGGTTCCCTCGGAAGCAGTTTGGCTTGACCTTACTGAATTAATCCACCATTCAGAGAACCCAGGTTTATCACTCACCTTTAAACTTACACCTACACCTGAGAAGGATCACTGTCAGTGACATCTGTAGCTCTGTATTAGCCGATCGGCCCGGGAAGGTCCAGCGTGCGTTATAGAGGTGAGACCCTGGGGGTCACAGTCCGTTTTAATAGCAGCTTGAGGAGACGCAGCACTGTCAGAGGATCTTGACTTGTCCATGGGCACGTGAGTGTCTGTCCCCATCGGGCAGCGTGGCGCTTTGAGAAGCAGCATCCGTGTTCCAGCAGACAGCGCAGGGCCCTCATGTTTATAGAAGCCACAGTGAAAGCAGACAGCCCTTAAACCCTTTTATCAAAGCTCTTGAAGTTTTCATCTCAGGGCAAGTGAAACAATAATAAATATCGTACAAAAGGAATGAGTCGGTAGCAGAACATTTTATGAAGTCAGGTGCTGCAAACAGCAGTCACTGCAGGGCAAGCAAGCCCGTGGGGTCTTGAGTGAGCCAATGCTCAAGCCGCTGTCCTTCCGTTCAAAGGTGTACAACCCCAGGATCAGAGCAGACTCGCTGGTCACGCAGCCCATCAGCCAGAGCCAGGCCGAGACCCGCAAGCAGATCCTCGGAACCTCTCCCTCAGGTAGCCCCGTGGGCCCCGGAGCCACGCACGGCGGTTCCCGTCTGCTGGCCCCCCAGATGTGTCAACTCCACTTTGCCCTGGTCTCTTCCAGGAAAACTCTTCTGTCTGTACTCCGAAGAATATGCCTCCAGAGACATGCGGCCACTGAAGCCAGCAGAGATGCAGGAAGCCAACCTCACAAGCACAGTGCTCTTCATGAAGAGAGTGGACATCGCAGGCCTGGGCCACTGCGACTTCATGAACAGACCCGGTAGGCGCAGGCGCGGGCCGGCAGGGCACCCGGCTGCAGCCCTGCCCGCTTAGCTCCTGCCCACCCCCAGTCCTAAGAGCAGGTGGCCCCTGGCAGAGCAAGCATCCCGGGGCTTTGTTTTGTCCTGAAGCATTGTCTCCACTAGAGGCTTCTCTGAATGGGGCTTCTCTGAATGGGACTTCTCTGAAGTCATTTAAAAATTTTGTTTAAAAAAAAAAAAAGCACCCTCTAGGAAAAACCCATCCTGACACTGGAATGTTGTCTGCCATCGGACACAGGGACACAGGGAAATGGGTGGCCAGGCCAGTGGAAGCTGGGGTGGCGCTGAGACCTTCCCTAGAACCATAGGGGGTTTAATATTGAAACTCTTCCAGTAAAGACTTGGAAGACCAGGTATTTGGGGCACCCTTGGAATCTAAGGTTTTCAACAGACTCCTCCCTAAGGGAGCAGTGGGATCTCCAGGAGGAGAGGGACCGGGTGAACTCCTCGTCTCATCCAAGACAGACCTCCTTCCTCCTCTATAGCCCTCTCCTCTCTGGGAGCCATCTCTTCTTGCAGGAAAAGAGTCGCTGTTCTCCAATAGAAGCTCAGGCATGCAGGAGAGAGAGGCCTGCACCGAACGCATGTAAAGAAGGCCCTGGCATTCAGGTTCTTGGGAAAATTAGCACATCACCGGGATAGCAGCCATGCAGTCCCAAGCCCAAGGCTTCACTTTAAGGGTATCAGCCAGCTTGGCTTGGCACAGATCTTCTCCATCTGAGAGGAGGTTGTTAGGCCCAGGCCTTTCCTTACTAGCTGAAGTGACAGATACATTAGTGATAAACATACCTTGAGATGGCAGTTCGGAGGAAAGAAGCAGTCACAGGAAGTGACGTAAGGTTGTAAAATGTATGAAAGCAAACTGTGAATGCGTTTTTCTTCTACAGCAGTGGTTGGACAGGATGGGCTGGGGCCCTGAGGGGTGGGTGATCAGGTCCAGAAAGGCTGGGAAACCAGGATTCCTTTAGCTGTGAGCCCTTGCCTCGCAAATGGTGAAGCACCTCTGCCCTTGGGTCTTGCTCTGGTCCCTGAGGGAAAGGGAGTCTGGAAGGCAAGGGTGGGTCACTCGCATCCGTCTCTCCGGTCTTCCCCCGGAGGCCCCAGAGCATGTCGCCAGCCAGCCAGTCACACTGCAGACACCACCCCCTGAGGAAGCAGGTTTTATTTTTGAAAACCCGTGTTGGGCTTCCCTGGTGGCTCAGGCGGTACAGCGTCTGCCTGCAATGCAGGGCAGACCCGGCTTCGATCCCTGGGTCGGGAAGGTCCCCGGAGGAGGAAATGGCAACCCACTCCAGTATTCCTGCCTGGAAAATTCCATGGACTGAGGAGACTGGTGGGCTACAGTCCATGGGGTGGCAAAGAACTGGACACAACTGAGCGACTTCATTTGCTTTTCTTTCGTGTTGATTGTCTGGGCATCTTGTTTTCATGCTAGTAGTTATCGGCGGGCCAGCATGACGAGAGAAGGAGAGCAGGCCTTGTAACTTCCGAGGTTTTAAAAAGCAGACAGCACAGCACAGCCAGAGTGCAGAGGAACTGCTGGGTTTCTCGGTGGCCACCCTCTGCTGTTCACTCCGCACGTGGGGCTTAGAGCCGAAGAGTAGGGAACAAAAGGGCGAGGGAAACAATTCATTCCTGTCTCCTGGCAGTACGCACATAATTGTTTTCTGCTGTGCTTTGGGAAAATACAACTGTGGATTAGCTCTGACTCATCATTTTGAAAGAGAAAAGAAGAAAAAGATGATGGTTGCAGCTGCTGCATTTAATGCCTCTCGTGAGTGAAATACGCAGATGTGGCAGAGCGGCCGCCCTCCGCAGGACCCGTGGGCCGTGTGGAGCGGATTTGGCGTCACTCGGCTATTCATCCAGTTCCCTTGGCCTGTGTGTGCGTGCGTGCTTAGTCGCTCAGTCGTGTCCAACTCCTCGCGACCCCCATGGACTACAGCCCGCCGGGCTCCTCGGTCTGTGGGGATTCTCCGGGCGAGAACGCTGGAGTGGGTTGTATGCCCTCTTCCAGGGTCCCCTGGCAAGGCTCGCTTAAAAAAAAATCCCTCATTTTCTTCCCTAGTGCTGAGGGCTGACCTCCATGGTGAGTGGAGGAGGCGGGTCAGGGAGTCCAGGACCAGCCGACCACGTGAGGTGGCCCTTGGCATCTTCCCACTGGGAGGGCAGGGAAGCGCCGTCAGCACGGGCGGGTCAACCTCGCCGAGCCCAGGGCCGTGCCTGCCGTCATCTTGGTATCTGGCCTCAGGGCTCGTTTTGTTGGCGGCCAGACGACTGGCGTTGGAACAATCTGCGAAGAGTGGACCCAAATGCAGACTTGCCAGACGTGGCATTTGGGACAAGACAGGGCCGTCTCAGAGACGGGGGAAGGAGGAAAGGGCAGGACTGGGTCAGGGCCCCAAAGAAGCGTCCAGACCTGTGACTCGTGGGGATGAGGCAGGGACTTCTCAGCCCGTGAATCAGGGAGTCAAGACACTCTGCAGTTTTATCTTCCACATGAGGAGCCCGGTTGGTGAGTGTGCCCTAGAAGTGCTGGTTCCTTCATCGCAGGAAATGAGAGATTCTGCTCTGGAGTTTACAAAGGGGCTGAAGATATCACAGTCCAGGTGAAGAGGCGATCGGAGGGGAAACGGGCCCCGGGAGGGAGCCTGGCGTGGATCCTTCCATCCCTGGCGGGGAGTGTCTGCCATTCGGTCGCCCCCAGACAGCCTGCGCTGGCAGGAGGCCCCACCTTGGGTTTTGAATTCACAGAGGTCACACGTCATCTGCCCAAGGTCACACAGAGCCGACCACTGTTTCTTGACGGCGGAGGAGGAGGTTGGAGAAGAGACAGACATGTGCCAAAACCACTCGGGAGCCAGAGAGGAGGTCATTTTTCGGAATGAAAAGAAAATCCAAGGGAGAGCTTAGAAGGCACAGAAGGGAAGCACTTCAACCCTTGAAACCTGTTCCCAGATCTTTGTGGGTCCAGAGACCGTGGGATCTGTTATTTGGGCCCGGCTGGTGGAGGCTGAACGGGAACGCCAGCCTTCATCGAGCTGGGGGAGAGATGGAAACAGGGCCGTTCTCAGCACATTGGGCCAGAGGCAGCCTGGATTTCAGGCACCCAGTGCCCTGGCTCTCATTACCAGCTGCGTGACGTTCGGCGAGCGTATTGCCCACTGGGTGCCTTGGTGTCTTCATCCGAACACCAGCATCGTCAGAGCAGTCCCTTCGCAGAGGCAAGTCCCTTCGTTCCTCTGTGGCCCCCGAGAACAATGCCGTGCGTGGAGTAAACGCTCGGCTGTCACCACCCACATGGTGTCCACCCGAACTCTGACACAGGAGGCTCATCGGCCTCAAGCTGCAGGAGAGCCTCCCGAGGCAGTTCTAATGGTGTGAGAAACAAGTACTTATCCACAGGCCTTGGGAGGCCGCACCGGATTCCCTGGGAGGAGTTGAGCTGGGCTTTGGAGCCAAAAGACAAGACTGGAGGCAGCTATGCTGACAGCTGACGGGTTCGAACAGCTGCCAGCAGAAAGGCTGGCCCAGAGGCTGCCTCCACAGCCGGGGAAAGAGGCTGGTTAGCCCTGTGGCTTTGTCAAGTGGCTTACCGTTTCCCCATCTGTAACATGAGGACGGAGGGTCTGCCCTCTTGTGTCATGGAGTTATTAAGAGGTGCAAATGAGATCGTTAATGCAGAGGTGCTCTATGTACTGTGTAACAGTAGGGGATCGGCACGTGCCAGGATTTATGAGCTTGTCCTTGTGAAGTTAAGTGAAACGGGCCCTCCCTTCCTCTCCCTTACTCCTGTTGCCTGAAATTCGCAGGACTTCCGAGAGTCTACACCACCCAACCAGCCACCGTCATGATTCTTCATTTCTCCGCTCCACGGGCGCCCTACTTGGGTGCACACGATGCCCATGCTCCAGTCCTAAATCCCGTCAGGCCCTCCCACCCTGTCCAGCTGTCTCTCTTTCTCCACGTCCATCTGCATACGTGTGCGTGTAATTCACAGGCCTACAAGGCACAGGGCCTGGACGGGGTGAGCCGGCTGTCCCCCCGGGGCAGTGGCGCTCCGATATGCTCTTGCTTTGTGACAGGATTTCTGATGTTGTGGTGTCCATACTTTACAGTTCTTCTGGCTGCAGGTGGCACCAGTGATGCCACGCAGACTAGCATCAGCCCAAGTGTGTCGGGATAAGGACGTGGGGTGCCCTGTGACCCCAAGCCATGCCTCAGGCACCCCCGAGGGCAGAGGCTGAATGGCACAGGCACTCAGCGTCCCACCTCCATCTCTGCACTCTTCTCTCCCCCGCCAAGCACGTGAGTGGAGGTCCCCATGACGGAGGGGAATGCCCCGCTATTTGACATCAAAAATCTTGGCAGACTTTTCAAGGCTATCGGAAAGATGCCACGTGAGGCGGTTGGTTCTGGAAATGACACCGCAGAGCCCTGGACCCATCAGACCTGCGCTCCTGCTTCAGCTCAGCGCTGAGCCCTCCATCCGGCTATGGGCTCAACCCTTACTCCAGACAAAGGGCCTGTGAGCAGCCTTTCTGCAGGTGCTGTGGCAGGAAAACGCAGATTCCACGTTGGAGCCTGGCATTTGGGCTTCCGCGGGAAAAGGGTGCAGGAAAGTGTGAGTAGCCCTCCGGGTGACTCTTAAGTCATGGCGGTGGGGCAGGCGTGTGGCCTTGCAGTGAGCTATCCCGCAGCGGGCACAGCGGCCGTGGGCAGTAGAGCTTAATGAAAATGATGTTTTGTTCATATTGAAATTGCCTGTGGAATAAAGCAGTGTGATTTTGCAGTGTTGTAAAGAAGAGGCCTGGCAGTAAAACATTTATATTCCATTTGTTAGCATTATTTACCATGGATTACACTTAAACAGCACTGCCATAAAGAACCCTCATCTAAACTCTTGCTTTTACCTACAATTTCATGGCCCGTACTGGGGAGCTGGCTTAAAACATAGAATGTAATATTAGCAAACCTTATGCAGTTATTTTTATGAGTGCTCCTTCACCTGTATCATCTGCATTCGTTAACTTGTTCTTTGTAGCATAATAAAACCCTCAAGAACTTCCTCTCTCCTTCTGCTGTTAGGACCGGGAGCAGAGTCATGACGTTATTTCCACCCGTCACCGTGTGTGCAGCCGACTCAACTCCAGGGTGTAAAAATGAGGAGCAGTGCCCCCTGGGGACAGAGGCTGGCTGTGCAGCCAGACCCTCACAGGGACGGTTGCCAGAGATCCTGTAACTTAGCATGAAGCAGCTTTGCTGACTTATGGAAATTGGTTTCTAAACAGCTCTCAGTCATTAAGTCTGCACTCCCAGCCCCTCCTGCCCTGTTTAATCCGAGATGCTATCTGCTGCTGCCTCTTGCACCTTCTCGGGCAGGTCAGGTGTTACTTTTGATTCCAAAAATGCTGATGGCACTTTGGACTAAATACTTTTTCTAAGGAGCCCACCTGTTTACTTCCTGGGGACGGTGACTTCTCGAGGCCGCACCCTTGCCTCGGGGCCCCTAAAGGCACAAATGGCAAATAGCTCTTTCAGCTTCCTTGTCTCCTGTTGCTGTCATCCATGTGAGTTCTGGGTCAACTCTTTATTGTGGGATTATATTTTCCTACCACATGGTTTTTATTGGATGCCAGACATTGTCCATCTCACTGCGTTGGATATTGGACATTTCATATTCCTATAAGTATTCTCGAGCTTGCCCTGGGCTGCAGGATGATCCTTTCAGGGGTTGATTTCAGGCTTACGTGGGTGGCACTGGAACTGCACTTATGGGGTTGGGTGGGGCGGGAGCGTAGTTATTCTCTCCTCCCCAGAGCCCCATGAACCGTGAGGCTTGGCAGCCTGGCTGGTGGGAACAGGCCTGTCCTGGACCGCATGTGTGCACCTGCCATGGATCCTGTGTCCCTCCTGGCCTGGAGCGGTTTCTCCGAGGGGCCCTCGTCCATCTGAGTCCTTCTGCAGAGCTCTGTTCTCTCAGGAAGTCTGACCTGCAAGCTCTGACCACCCGAGTCTCCAGGGACCCTCAGCACCATCTCCATGATTCGGGGAGCCTGGCAGCTCCCCCGGGTACCCTCCTAGCACCACAGCCTGGAAACTCAGGGCAGTAAAGCTTCTTGAGAGATGACCTGTCTCAGGAGTCCATGTCATTCGTTGCCCGGTGTTCTGTCTTGCAGACACATATTTTTCTTATCATTTGCTGGTTCTGTGTGGGAGGGAAAAGCCAGTACCTGTTACCCCATCTTGGTGGTATGAGACTTTCTAATTGTTAATTTTTTTATCTTCCCCAGCACCAGAGAGTCTGATGCAGGCTTTGGAAGACTTAGATTACCTGGCAGCATTGGACAATGATGGAAATCTTTCTGAATTTGGAATCATCATGTCAGAGTTCCCTCTTGATCCACAACTCTCCAAGTCCATCTTAGCATCCTGTGAATTTGACTGTGTCGATGAAATGCTAACCATCGCTGCCATGGTAACAGGTATTCCTTCAGGACAGTTCTTTTGTCCTGTAGCAGGTATAGATTTAAATGAGATCCATTGACATGGGAATGAAATATCTTCAATTCAAATAGATTGAAAAGGTAGAAGAGCATAAGAATTATCTTAATATGAAAAATACCTGAATCAAAACCCAGTGAATTTCTTAAATCAGGTGAGAGCATAGCAAGTTTGCTTTTGCTGAAGTAATGGGTACTGATCAAGAAACACACATCACTGGAAATATTCTTTCCCCTGCCAATCTTCTATGCGTGTTTTCTGTCTTCTCCCACCTCATTCACCTTGGTTTATAGGTTTGGATAGATTCCTTTACTGGCAAAACAAACCAGAGGCTCTGCTGCATCAGAACCTGGGTTCTGGTCCAGTCCCTGGGCCTCTGAGTCCCCAGGTCCCCTGGCTCCCGCTGTAACACAGGCAGGGTGTCCGCTGGGCCGAGCAGCCCTGAGTAAAGCTAACAGAAACACGCGTGACGACAGCTCACCCTGAGCTTCTCTGATTTCTGAGTAAACAAGGATGACACGTTGTTCCCAGAAGACAGGGACAGGGCTGCACACAGCAGTGAGCCCCCCTCTGCCTGTTGTGCTGAAGGGAATGGCTCATTATCGCCAACCTTCTGACTTTTCGTGTCTTAAAGCTCCTAATTGCTTTTCGCACCTGCCCCACGGAGCGGAGGAGGCTGCCCTATCTTGCTGGAAGACGTTCTTACATCCTGACGGAGATCACTTCACCCTCATCAACATCTACAAGGCCTACCAGGACACAACTCTGAACGCCGCCAGCGAGCGTAAGTGAAGGCTCAGCGTTCTCAGAAATCACCTCCTAGTCCTCCTTTCCTTCCCAGAACAAAGCTGAGTTGTGATTCAGCAAACACCCTCTCTCCCCCGAGCCCCTGGGTCACTTGAGCGGCACGGCGCTCCAGGCCCTGCCTTATGCACCCACAGGTTTACTGTAGAGACACCCTCCTCCCACAGAGGGGGCCCCGCGTCCACTCAGCCCGCAGCCTCCAGGGCAAGCCTTCTGGGACGGGAGACCTAGACTTGCCCAGCACGGCCCTGCCCTCTCGGGGCCAGGGAGGAAGGAAAGAACTGCCGTCTCCAGGTGCCCAGCAGTCAGAGCGGCGCCTTGTGCTTATGACACGGCAGGTTCACTGCTGATGGAGAGTGTGGATTATTCAAAACAAAACAGACAGACAGACACACATACACACACACACACACACACCATACACCCCGCCTCCCCAGCTCACACACACACACCATACACCCCACCCCCCCAGCTCACACACACACACACACACACACCCCACCCCCCCAGCTCCAGGTAGTAACGAAGAGGCAGGTGAGCTGAGGGAGACTGGAGCTTGGCCGAGGAGGGGAGGAGAGAGAAGGGGTGTTCAGGGGAGTAGTGGCCCGTGGAAAAGCTTCGGCAGAGGTCGGGGTGTGTCTGAACCGCAGTGGGTATGTTCCCACTTACAGGGGTAAGGGAATGGCAAATTCCTCCACGGGAAGCTCCTGTTCCAGCCTTAAAGACAAGAAGGGGATCTGAGAGGCCAAGAGGGCAGAGCAGTGATGCGGAGGCGGCCAGAGAGGACTGGCTACAAGGGGAATTATCAGGCTCACCTTTGTTCTCCACAATGCTTCTCTTGCCTCCTCTGCTCCAGTAGAGGGTGTGAAAAAGTATTTAAAGTGAAGCGAAAAATATGACAGCAGTCAGAATGGTAGAACGCCAAGAAGAAAAAGTTGTCAGCGAGGTACACAAGGAATTTGGCAGCATCTTTGGAGAGCAAGCCGGATGCCTTGGTCATCACATGACCAAGTGCTTGCTTTCGAGGCTCCAAACAGGCCTGAGTGGAGTGGACAGGACACCATCAATGAAGGTCTGCAGTCCCCGTGCCAGGGGCCACGTGTGCTCCCAGGTCAAGGCAAGACTCTGGATCCAGCTTCCATTGTCACAGATGGAGAGAAGGAGGAACTTCACACTGCTGTAGGGGACTGACTTTCAATATATTAATAAAACTTGCAAATCGGGTAGCCAAGCTTAACTGGAACATTAATTCCCAAGTCAGCCTAGTAGTGATCTTTTTCTTACAATTAAGACGTGAGATATTTTCATGGAGCAGAGAGATGTGTACTGTAAGCTCTTCCCTCCTAGCCTGATTAAATGTTGTGGCCACATACATCCTGGCTGTACACACGCTGGACAAAGTGTTGATCTTGAGACTTCCCTGCCCCTTGTGATCCAGATGAAGGGTCAGTGCTGGGAGCCTGCACTTTTCACAGCTGGTGGGATCTTGGAATCCCTGCAGCCGCTGCAGGTCCTACTGGCTCACAGGGCGACCTTTTTAGGAGAGGAGACAGAGGACGCAGAGATAAGAGCATGTGCAGCCTGGGCTCTCAGCTGTGACAGGTCACATCTAAGCAGCCTTTTGTTGGTTCCTTCCTAGACTGTGTTGAAAAGTGGTGTCACGATTACTTCCTCAACTGCTCAGCACTCAGGACGGCAGAGGTTATCCGAGCTGAACTTTTAGAAATCATCAAGCGGATCGAGCTTCCCTACACAGAACCTGCCTTTGGCTCAGAGGAGAACACTCTGAACATAAAGAAAGCTCTTCTGTCTGGTTATTTTATGCAGGTAAGAATGGATAAGGCCACCTGCAGTGTGGTCTTTATATAATTCTCACATATTCAGGACATCCTGTCAGAAGTCTCTCACTTAGGGTGATTATTTTATTGATGTGAAAACCCTTATATGTTATGGAATGCTTAGTATTTAAATACACGTTCCCTCAAGGGAGTGAAGAGCTAAGCTAGAACGTTCACTTTGTTCTAAAGGACAGATCTCCCTCATCACAGAGGGAGCTGTTACAGCACCCTGGGTGAACGTCAGCTGCAGTTCCTCATGACACCTGGCTGTTCCCACTGAACTGGTGATGTGACACCCAACAAGTAGAGACAGCATCCCGTTGGTTTCTTTCCTGGAGCAAAGGTTGCCTAAGGCATCTGCTCTAAACTGTTAATAAAGCCTGTTACAGAAACACATCCATTCTTCACATAGTGAGAGAAACACTGTGGCATTTGAGTGTGGGTTTCCTCATCTGTATGGAAACAGGTATCACAGGGTTGTGGTGAGGAATTAAATCAGCCAAAATGTCAGGTGTAAAGCACTGGCCGTCTGTGTGTAGTCCACAACATGAAGGGAACAGCTTTGTTTCTTGACCAGAACATTTACTTTTGTAGCCATGCTGTTTTGGCGTGCTGCCCTGAAACTGATGAGATTAGTCAACATCTTATCGCTGGCTCTTAAGTTTTGGGCAAAACATGTATACGTCTTTCTGTATCTGAAAATGGAAAACATGTAGTGAATCTGTAGTTTAAACTATTCTCTATGAAGTAGTTTGGAATTTTTAAAACCGCATTTTCGCGCATCCATGTCCACATTCACACACCTTTCTTCCTCTGCAACACCGCCGCTCAGATCGCCCGGGACGTGGACGGGTCGGGCAACTACCTGATGCTGACGCACAAGCAAGTCGCACAGCTGCATCCGCTGTCCTGTTATTCTGTCTCCAGGAAGATGCCCGAGTGGGTCCTCTTCCACAAATTCAGCATCGCTCACAGCAACTACATCAGGATCGCCTCCGAGATCGCTCCTGAACTGTGAGTGTAGTGGGGCAAAAGGCTTTCTTTTAAACTCCGACTTGAAGAACACGTGACAGGCTTGGATTTCCTTACGTTTTCAGTATAAGCAGCTTATACCACTGCTAATCTAAGTTTGTGTGGGGCAGAGCTCCGAAAGGCAGGTCTCTAGATGACTGAGAAAGGTCCGTGCCTCGCTGACAGCAGAGAAGACAGCCTAGAAACACAGGGCAAAGCGTGGCACAGTGGGGAGGCCGAGAGCCGCAGGCACGGGCCGTGCGGGGCAGTGACCCGGCTGCCTCTCACGATAGGTGAGCCGCTGAGACTGCAGTGAGCGGGGAAGGGGAGGACGCAGGCGAGGCTGAAAGCAGGCAGGTAGGAGTGGTGGAGGGCTTGCGGACCACAGAGAGTTGGGAGTTGACCCTAAGTGCAGTACAAAGCAGTCGGAGGGTTTTAAGCCAGAGTAACGTCTTCCGTCGGGAAGGTCGCCGGCTGCAAAGTGAACAGGCTGTAGGGAGAGCAGTGAGGATGGACTGTCTCAGCCGCTGCAGGTGCAGACCCACTGGGAAGACCCACTTCTGCTCGGGCAGCTGATCTTTCCAGGCAGGAGCCAGGAGCAACTACAGGTGTGTCCAGCTTCAGCAGCTGGATACAGTGTGGTGTTAGTAAAGAGATGCAAAACCACTCCCTCTCTCACACACCTAGAGTTCTCCCGAGCACCTGATCTGACCTGTTGTAGAACTGTGAAGGCCTTGGGGGAAATAGCAGTCTCCCCGGTGGTTACGGTGACAGAGAGAGCCCAGCTGCTTCTAGAAACGCAGCTGGACTGGTCCTGTGAGAACCACAGACTACTCATTCTACAGAGGCAGGCTAAGCCGCAGAGGAGTGCAGACTAACTAAAATGCTGGAGGCAGATCCTCCAGGCCTGGGAAGGGTCCAGGCATGTTTGCTAATCTCTCACCACTAATAATTTTTTGTTTTAAACAGGTTTATGCAACTGGCACCACAATATTATTTCAGTAATCTGCCTCCTAGTGAAAGCAAGGATATTCTACAGCAAGTCATGGATCACCTATCCCCTATTTCAACAACGAAAAAGGAGCAGAAAATGTGTGACAAGTGCCCTGAAGCTACTGAACAGAGATGCACTGTGCAGTGATGCAGCAGAGCGTCCACCCAAAGCCTGATGTGCAATAACTGTCCCCAGGGCGGCGTGGCGGCCGGCCTCCCGGGGCAGCTCGGACTCGGTGCCACAGCCCACAGCCCACGGAGTCCTGAGAGGGAGAGCACACTGTGTGATAGTTCAAAACTAAAAACAGAAGTTTTTATTGAGTTCTTTAAATTACTGCCCCATGTTTTTCTTCTTACTGGAAAAGTTTTTAATCAACCGTTCCTAATTTGACCAATATTTTAAAAAAGCAAAGATATTTTGTAAATGTGTCGCAGACACGGGTGACAGAACCCTACTTTTTGTAGAGGACCTTCATCTGAATAAAGTCATGAGTTTTTCAGTAAGCCTCCACCAAGTCTTCTGGTAACTCTGCAGAAGCAAGCCCACCATGGTCCGTGGGAGATGGGTTAGACAGACAGATGTTCTTTCAGTTTTTCCATGATTTCATTCATCTTGTCACCTGGAATTAACATCACAGTTCGCAGGGGCTTCATTGGCACATCATCAAAGGACCATCGGCCTCCCAGACACGTGTCGCTCTCCTCCTGCACTGAGTAGTTGAACTTCAGGATTGCCTTCTAAACCAAAGAACCATAAATTTAAAATTCACGCAAGCTGAAGGCAACACTCATGTATTCAATAACAAGAAATACAATAGTGTGTTTGGCAAATATAACAAGGCTGACAGCTAAAGGAAGCTCAAACGGGACAGTCGGGCAGACATTACAAAGCACTCCCCAAGGAGGTTTCTAACCTGCATGAACAGTGTGGGTGGAAGCGTCCTACTTCTAAGAGGTGAACAACCAGCTGAGTTATATTAATATCCTGGCTTCCCTGGTGGCTTAGAAGGTAAAGAATCTGCCTGCAATGTAGGAGACTCAGGTTCGAGTCCTGGGCTGGGAAGATCCTCTGGAGAAGGGCATGGCAACCCACTCCAGTGTTCTTGCCTGGGAAGTCCCATGGACAGAGGAGCCTGGGGGGCTACACCATGGGGTCACACAGAGTCGGACACAACTCAGCGACTCACACTTTGACCTTCTTTCACCTTTATAATTCTGAAGTCACTCATACTGACAAGCCCATTTGATTCTCAAAATAATCTTGGGATACACAAGTGAAATTAAGACTCATAACATTTGACAGTTAATGAGAAAAACCGTGAGGCTAGTCTTAGCACTGTCCCAGCTGCTTCTCTGGCATAAAGCTTTGTGTGAGGACAGTAAGTCTGCGTGACCAACCCATCTTAAAACACCCGCACATTCGTCCCTGACAACGTTTACCTCAAGTGCTGAGGCTCACATTTTCACTTATTTACTTCCTGAAAAACAAGCACAGAGCTGAATCTATAGTGCTTTTGTCTTCAATGGGCGCCTTTTAAAATAAGTGCTTATCATCCAATCCAGGAAAATGTGTCCTCCTCAGAGACTGAACATTTTTGAGAGGCAGGCAGCATGACAAAGTATACGCTCTGGCATCTGGCTGTCCGTCATGAACACAAGCTTACAGGGAGAGTCCCTCCAGGGGGATGGCCTCTAGGTCCTAGGGAACGGGGCGGCATGCAAGCCAGCAGCAAGGGCGCAGGGTCCATCCCACCTTCCAGACCCAGCAGACAGTGGCTCCACGTCCCCTCAGACTCAACAGCCCCACCTGTGCACCCAGGCAAACGCCCACCTCCCAGAGCGGTGAGAGAACAAAGACCTCATAGTTATAAGCACAATGTAAATGCCCAGCCAACCATCAGCGAGCTCGGCTAGATAATCACCTCCTCCCCACTCTGTTATTAGCTCCAAGGTGCTGTAGATAGGGAGGTTTAAAAACAGAATGGCCACACTTAAACTTTAGCATAAAGTGAGAGAGCAATCCTTATTTACATGTAAACAAAGAGCTGGAACGGGGCAGTCTTACCTCGTAGAAGAATTCTTCTTCCGCATTTGCAAACATTAACTCCTCTTTGTTTTGGCTGCTCCGTCTCTTTTTGGAACTGCTTTTTCCTGCTTCCACAAACGTCTTGCTAATCAGAAGGTAGAAGTGACACTTCCCACAAGGCTTGTTAGTTTTGTGTGCCTCTGCTAGTTCTTTCCTTCAAGGTACAAACACACAGACACAAGGTTGGCCTGGGTCAGACAAGGTCCACGGACGAACCAGAGCAGAGAAGGCCACCGAGACCTCCACGGAGCGCTGCGGTGACACAGGCTTAAGGGGCCGACGTCAGATCTGCACGTTTCTAGAGCAGCCAGGTGCGTGTTCAGGCGACTATGGCAGCGCTTTTTATGATAAAATAGTATGGTGACTCACAGGTTAACGCTCTGAGTTGTAGATACACAGCAACTTAACAGATGAGCCTCAAGTTCACACAACATCACTGCTGTGTTAAAAATACCTAAGAATCTGGATTTTCTAAAACATTTAACTGAAACACACAAGGGCACACAGCCATGACAGATGCCATCAGAGCAGGTAACCTCTACGATCTCCATTCACTGGCATCTGAGACTATTTCTGGCCTGCAGAAATGGCCAGACAGTTGCCCTGAACTACCATGTCAATGAGACAGCAAAGAAATCTTAACTCTTTCCTTCCTTCCTTTAAATCATACATAACCCTGTATATCTGGCTAAACAAAAATGTAAAGAAACTTAAACAACCCACATCAGCTTTCTTTCATAGGATCGGGAGAAAGCTGATCCTCCTCCTATGAAATCAGACAAACGTAAAAGCTCTAGCTGATCAGAAAGAAAGACAGGTTAAACAGGCGGGCACCGCAAGTACAGCATGAGCAGCAGCTGAGGGGTGGCAGCGAGGGAGAAAGAGCAGGACTAAAAAGCAACTGAATAAAGGAAAAATGGGAAACCAAGAGGTTTCAGACTACAGTTACATTCGCATCAACTGTTTCCAAGGACATCACAAAGATGTACCCTGACCTCTGAGAGATAATACTCTGTAAAGCCTAGGTGTCTGCCTGTAATTTCATCCTCCTCTATGTCAAAGCACAGACAATATCAAATCTTATCTCTCCGTACATTTAAACTATTCTTGTAAACTTAAAGCTCCTGAATTAAAGCAAAACAGTAACAAACCCTGAGGAGCCCAAGAGGCAATATCAGGGCCATGGTTGCATTCATCACAGAATGTCCCAATGGAATTTAGGAATTTTACTGTTTTGTTATTGTAATTTTTTACATTTCATTCGTGTAACAGAAATCCTATCTCTGAAGCGGGTGAAAAACTTCCGTCAAATGGGCGTTAAAGTGTATTTTATACCATTTAAATCTTTGAGATTATCAAGACTATTGTCACAACAGTCCTAAGGAATTAAAACTATTAAAAAGCCTATTATTAGTAACACATCTCTCAGGTACTCTCCCCACACGTGCTTAAACCAACATATCCCATCGGAGTCACACTTCTGAATCTACTTGGGGAAAAGCCTCCTGTTGAAAGGCGTGTCCCAGTCTCTTACTGAAGCTGCTGGTGCATGGGCAGCGCAATCTGTGGAGGAACGTTAATGAACCTCTCGCTCAGCAGAAAGCCCACAGGCCTGGCGGTGTCATTGAAGAGCCTGTCTAGCTGCTCAACTGTGCTCTTCTCACAATTCTTCTCACAGAGGCGCAGAATCAACTCCTTAATTTGCTCAGCACATGGGGTACCCTAGAAAGCAAAGAGAAGGCTCACTCTATCACAGGCCATTACCCACAGGAGAAAACATGAAAGTGAGAGCTATCACTTTTTAGTATCTCATAGTGTGGTTTCCTGCCAAAACCTTTAAAAAAACCTTACAAGTCTTTGGGTTTCTCTGATAGCTCAGTTGGTAAAGAATCCGCCTACAATGCAAGAGAGACCCCAGTTCAATTCCTGGGTCGGGAAGATCCGCTGGAGAAGGGATAGGCTACCCACTCCAGTATTCATGGGCTTCCCATGTGGCTCAGCTGGTAAAGAATCTGCCCACAATGCAGGAGACCTGGGTTCAATCCCGGGGTTGGGAAGATTCCCTGGAGAAGGGAAAGGCTACCCACTCCAGTATTCTGGCCTGGAGAATTCCATGGACTGTATAAGTCCACGGGGTCCCAAAGAGTTGGACACGACTGAGCGACTTTCACTTTACAAGCCTTCAGTGTTGACTACTTACTATTTTTCAAAAGTAATTATATATACCTGGTTATTTACGAGCCCATACTCAGTGGTCGGAGGTTATACTAACTCCAGACATACTGGGATAGAAACTCTAGTCCATCTCATAAGATGAAAGTATCTGAAAAGTTCACTGAAAAGTTAAAGTGTAGCCTGCATCTTATTCTAAGGAGGGTAAACTTCCTGAGTTTTATTTTTTCAACTAGAACCCATCAATGAATCAATAAAAATGAATGCAAATACAAATAAATGTTGAGTGTCCTCAATTTCAGGAAGCAATTAAGACTCAGAATCAAAGAAAACAGCTGCAGAGAGAGCAAAACCAGCTCCTGTGTCCACACCAACATCAGAAAACTCGTTCTTCTAAACCCAGATGACAATTCTCTATACCACAGGCAGTAAACGACTTTAACTGGGTACAGATTATTCCAACAGAAACAAAAATACCTTCATATTGAAAAAAGGATTACAGCAAGATTACACAAGTGCACATATCCTTATATTTAATATCTTGGTCTGATATAAAACACACTTTCATCACATATTAAACAGAATTAACTTTTTAGGTTCTGGCCTAAGGAATAACCACTCTAATGGCCACCCAATGAAACCAACCTTTCTTTCAGTTAAATTTAAGAGACTTATGAAACCAAAAATCTCATCTTCATCCACATCGTCATCACTGTCTTCTGAAACATCCGTTTGCTGTTTCAAAAAGAAAAAAATACTCATTTTATGTTTGGTTGAGAAGAAGTGCAGTACAAAGTCTTGGAATCTAGGCTGCATTTATCTTTTCACATTTCAAAGGAAAACTATTTTACTGTCATAGCCTTAGCAAAGCCTCATGGACTAAAACTGTG